GAGAGAGAGCATGAGCAGGGGGAGAGGCAGAGGGAGAGGGAGAAGCAGGCTCCCCGCTGGGCCAGGAGCCCGATGTGGGGCTGGATCCCAGGACCCTGGGATCGTGCCCTGAGGCGAAGGCAGATGCTTGACCATGTGAGCCACCCAGGAGCCCCATGCAGACATTCTTGGTTGTCATGACTGGGGGAGGGAGGAGGGTGCCGTTGGCCTCTAGAGGGAAGAGATCAGAGAAGCTGATCCACATCCTACAAGGCACGGGGCAGTACACATGCTGAAGAATTACCTGGCCACAAACGTCTATAGTGTCAAGGCTGAGAACCCTGGGCTAGGTTATCACGTGAAAGGCAAGACAGAACCCAGGAGGGCTGACAGCTCAGCTCCAGGGGGCCTCCCATCACGGCTCACCCCGGGGCCATCTCATCGGTGGGCTGGATTCACCTGCACTATGCACAATCATTTCTTGCGCTCTCTCTCTCCTGAACACTTTATGCCAAACCAGTCCACAGTGAGTCCACCATAGTCAAAAATAGCTACCATTTACTGTTTATTACTGTGTGTACAGATAGGTATTAAATAATTCATATCCATTAATTCATCCAATGCTCACAGCAGCCATGAAATACCCATGATTATCATGATTCTCATTTCACTGGTGAGGAAACCGAGGCTCAAAGGCGTTAAGAAATTTGCTCATAGTCATTCAGAGAGTACATGGCAGAGTCAAAATACAAACCCAGTTCTCTGCAAGGCAAAGCCTGTGCCCTGCCATTACTTTACACCAGTGGGTCTTACCCCAGGGGTGGTTCTCCTCACCCCCTGCCCCGGGACATGCTGCAATGTCTGAGGACATTTTTAGTTGTCATGACCCCTGGGGTAGGGGTGCAGGGGAAGGTGTGTGCTACTGGGATACAGTGGGTAGAGTTAGGGACAGTGCCACACTGCTAACGTCCTACAATGCATAGGACAGCCCTCACAACAGAATTATCTGGCTCAAAATGTCAGTAGGGCCAAAGTTGAGAACACTGCTTTATACCATGTCCACAGGCCAGCAAGAATTTATACGTACATGGTTATCTTTAAACACTGGGATCTGGAATCCAAGATATCCTATAGCTCAAATACACTTTACTCACCCCCGCCCATTCTTTACCTTTTCCAGACATAAAACTTTGCATTCAAATCCTGACATCCATCTATGATGCAAAGTAACTTCAGGGATAGGATGATTAATGAGTCTGGGATATATCAATAGCAAAATGCCAAGCAGAAGAGAATATCCCTGGACACAAGTGTAAAACAAACACACACACACACACGCGCGCGCGCGCGCGCGCACACACACACACTCTCTCTCTCTCTCTCTCTCTCTCTCTCTCTCTCTCCTAGAAGAGAAGCATTCCAACTGGACTTTAAAAGTCACAGACTATAGGAGTACCAAGAAAGGGCTGTGGGAGTTGCTGTCACCATCCCTGAAGAGATCACCATGGCAACGAAGGCCAACAAGATGCTGTATTAGATACACAATTGGAAACGTTTCTTTGTGAACAAGAACAGCACACCTAACCTGCACTACTTAAGCCAATGGTTCTCAATCCTGGCTGCACATCTGAATCACCCATGCTGCTTTCTCACTGTATAGATGCCCGGGCCCCACTTGACATCTCACAGAATTGGAATGGGTAGGGTGTGGGGATTGAGCCTTTGTGGTTTTAAGAAAGCTCCCCCGGTGATTCTGATGCCCAGCCCAGGTGCACAGTCATTGCCTCAGACTCAGAGAAAGGTGGCAATGGCCCAGGGAGGGGAGACAGAAGGGTAGGGGATGAAGATGGACCAGCTTGGAATACTACTTGGAATACCACTCTGGAAAAACAGAAGCTAAGAGGGCATTTGACTGGAGCTTAAACAGCAGGAGGAAAAGCACACACATGGGGCAGTCCCTAAAGCTTCAAAATGCACAGGCAAGAAAGCCCTAGTTTACACAGCAGATAATAAATTAAACATCTCAGCACGCTGTCCAAGCCAAAAAGCCACTAAGATTTATGTCCTGAGGACAACTATGCCAGAACTAGTGTCAGAGGCAAAGTACTGAGTGAGTGTGGCATTTATTAGGCAAAAACTTTAAGTATAAAGCATTCCATTTCTCTGTTTTATACTTACTGTTCAATTAAGCAATCAAAAACTCACGTGTCAGCCCACATGGTAGAAAAGGTATCCCTGGAAAACAGGAATCCATAATTTTCCCTTTGTGCTCAAAAGTATACCGCACAATAAGGGTCCTCAGTGATGAATTCATTCATTCATTCCACAAACATTTCTTGGATACCTACTCTGTGCCAGGCACTGTTTAGATGTAGGGAATCCACCAGTGATCATGACAGAAAGAAATCCTTGCCCTCATGGAGCTTATATTCTAGAGGAAGAGTCAAACAAGTAAACTTTGCAGGTCAGATGATGACGTGCTGGGGAGGAAAATAAAGCAGGATAAAGGGGATGGGGGAAGCGGATCCAATTTAAAGCGTGTGGCCAGAGAAGTGCTCCATAAATAACGTTTGAGGAAAGGCCTGAAGGAGGTGAAGGAGTGAGCTATAGGGCTATCTGCGGGAAGACTGTTTCAGGCAGGGGAACCGGAAGGTCCAAAGGCATAAAGGAGGGTGTGTAGAGTCCATTCAAGGGACACCGAGGAAACCAGAGTGGTTCAAGCAGAGCAAGTCAGGGAGAGAGTGGTGTGACGGGAGGAAAGGGAGGTAGAAGGGGGCCACTCTAGCTTCTGGGCTGAGATGTTAGATGGGTAAAGATGGAAGGGAGGCCCGAGTGGTGGAAACCAGCGCTGGTGGTGAGAAGTGGTCACCTTCCGGAAATATTTTAAGGTAGAACTGACAGGATTTGCTGTGGCATATGAGAGAGAAAGAGAGGAGTGAAGGGTAACTTCAAGGATTTTGGCCTGGGCAATTCAAAGAATGGACTTGCCATTTACTACAAAATGGGAGGAAGACTGTGGAGTGGGCAGGTGTTGGAGGCAAAGATAGGGATTTTGTCTGATGTGCCCATGAGACATTTAAATGCAAATGTCAACTATGATGTTAGATATATTGAGTCTTGAGTTTGTGAAAATTAATAATGGGAAAAGCCTCACTAAAGCCGACTTGGGGAGGGGCTAGAAAGGGAGGCCAAAAGGGGTTGCCTTACCACATAACAGAAATTAGGGGGAGAACAGTCAGTTACAGCCCCCAAAAGAAGAAACATCAACAAGAAAGAAAGATCAATTACAGGCCCTGACAGAGGAGGTACACTGAATCTTCTGTAAGAAATCCACTACCCCTGTAACTTAGCCAATGAGAAGCTGTCATCACCCTGAACTGCTGCTTTTCTCCAACAGACTTTCAATTCAAAACAAGTTCTCTAGCAACTTTCCCCCTCTCCCTAAAATAATGTTCCTGTCCTTCCTTGTGAGACTCGCCTATGGTTTTGTCAGTGCTTGCTAGTCTTACATTGCGAGTCTCTGTCACTCCTGAATAAGCCCATCTTGCTAGTAAAATAGCTGACAGTGTTATTTTTAAGATCAACAAGTCCAGAAACCGAATGGGCCAAAGTTGTAAATACGTACAGTATGTCACATTGATTCCCATTTATCCACTCCCTCTCCTGCCTTTAACTGGATCTTATAAACTGGAATGCCTCCACCCTCCGTGGGCTCCTTTATCTTGTAAAAGAGATACAGCACAAAATGGCAGGGGGTGTGGGTGTGCGAATGGGGGACTGGGCTCTGAAGCCAGACTACCTAATTCACACATCTCTCCTGCTCAAGAGCTGGGTGACCTGCCTTGGACAGATAACTTAACCGCTCTAACTCAGTTTCCTCACCGAGAGAACAGGCTAACAGTACCTACTTCACGGATCTTTTGTGAGGAGTATTACAGGACAACAGGATTCAAGACTTTGAACGGTACACGGTACTACCCCCAAACGCTCGGCCAGGGTGGGAGGTTATTATTTCATTCATGCATTCTTACAGTTCAGTATGGAGACCTCAGGACACCGTCCGGTAGCAGGGAGCACGGTATGGGGGAAGAGGGCCAGGCAGGTAGACAGCTTGCCAGAACTACGGTTGTGCTCCTAGAAACGGAGGGAGCTAAAAATAGGCCTCGGAAGTCCTGAGGCTACCGCGATATCAACACCACTATTGATTTAGGCAGACATCAGCTTATGGAGTGCTTTCTCAAGAGGATTTAGAACCGTAACCTTGTCAAAAACGCTCGGGTGGGATGTCAGCGCTCCTGAGAGGAGGGAATTCGCACAGCCTTGTCTCCCTGTCTCCCTCTCTGGAAGTGCGGCGAAAAAGGGCCAAAAGGCAGCCGGGGCTTTCTGTGGTCCACAACCGCGGCCAGGCCTAAATGCAGGGAGACGAGGCGCGACTCTCAGGTCGCCACTAAGGATCTGGGGGAACTGGCGGGAACTGGGGGCCGAGTTCGGGGGGGGGGGGAACAGACCAGGTGTCCTCCATGCTCGGCATGGAGCGGTCCCGCGTAGGATGAGAACCACAGGATTCGGGGGTGGGCTTCCTCGGCGCCACGACGGGGAAAGGGACAAGCCCGGTTCCCGGGAACGAGGGGGCGCGGGAGGGAGCGTGGCGCGCTGGGCGACGACCAGGCCCAGAGGTCTATTTACATCTGAGGCCAAGGCGCTGAGGCCTCGCTTCCCGCCCCCTTCGGGCCCCGACATGGCCCGGGGAGCAGAAGGGCCTCAGAGCCATGGCTCCAGCGGCCTCCCAGGCCCTCTGGCCGGACGGTGGCAGGGCCGAGGCTGCCGGGAGTGATGGGCCGGGCCGGTGAGTCCGGCCTGAGGGGACGCAATGGGGGGCGGCTGTGGGGCCCGCTGGGCCGCTGTCCCGGAACACACGGTCCCCCGCACTCCGGGGTGCTCACCCCTCAGGCTTGTGGCCCCTCGGCCTCCCGCTGCCCGTTCCCTGGCCGCCAGCTGGCCCCCGACGGCGCCTCCCCTACCTTCGTTCGCCAGGTCCGCCATTTTACTTCCTTAAGCCCTCCCACAAGGCCCCGCGCCGGCCCGGGCTCTCCTGCTTTCTGCCAGAAACTCCCGCGCGTGCGCACTTCGCGAGCTGACTCCGAGCGAGGCCGGCAGCTCGCGCCTGCGCGCTGAGACCCGCGCGGAGTCGCGCTCCGGAGGGCCGTCCCGGCCCAGCCGAGCTCCGAGCACGCGCCTGCGCACTAACTGCCCCCCGCCTCCTTTTCCCGCCGACCAAGGGGGCGTGGGCAGCGCACGGCGCATGCGTAATGAGCCTGGCGCGCGTCAGCGGCGACGCGGGAACGAACGTTCTGTGAGACGGCGCGGAGGAGGCTGGGTTTCGACGCCCCGGCTTTCTGCTCGTTTTCCGGGAGTTCCTTGAGGTGGGAGCGCGAGCCGCCGAGGGAGCCGCGACTGAGGCCTTCCCCGAGGTGAATCTCTGGATCTGTGGGGGGCGGGGGGGGGACTGTCCCCATGCGCAGGCCTGACAAGAGGCCTTCCGGGCGCCCCGTCACCTGCGGCCTCAGTTTCCCCTTCCGAGGGCCCAGTTCATGTCTGCGTTTTCCTCAGGCCCCGTGGGGCGGTGGGGGAAGTTGGGGAGGGGTCAGAGGTCGGAGAGCGCCGGCCGGAGGAACGATCAGTCCGGGAGGGGCCTCTGTGGGCTGGGGGCCGCGGGGGTGGGAGTCCCGGGGCGGCGCCTGGCGCGGAGCGGGGCCTCGAGCGTCTGCGTCTGAGAGCCGGGCTGGAGCGGCCCCCGGGCCGAGGGAAGGTGTTCCGCCCGCCCGCGCCTCCTCGCCGCCTCGGCGCACCTGCCCCGAGTCTGTCTGAACGCCTTCCTGGCTCTGCTTTGTTGCCAGGACACAGGCCGCAGGCCACGCGAGGCCAGCCTCGCCTCTCTCCGGGGGAGACCGCGCCGCCCCCTGGGGGGCTCCGCGCCCCGGTGCCGGGCAGAGGAGCCTTGTAAACAGTATAAATTAGATCAAGGGCCCATCTTTCCTCCGCGCGTGCAGACAGCTTTCTCCTGAATTTGGAGTAAATCCTAAACCTCTCGTTAAGGCTCACGAAGCTCCCCACGCTGTGCTCTCATGCTCCTCTCTTGCTCAGTGCAGTTTAGCCACATGGCTCTTCAGGCCTGCAGCATGCCCAGCTCCTTCCAGCCTCCGCGTCTTTGCGCCCGCTGAGCCCTCTGCCGGGGCTTTGTGTCCCGGGTCTAATCCCCTGTGAGTCCCAGCTCCACTCTTCCATTGTGATCTAGACAAGGAAGTCCTACAGCCTGTTGGCCGCACCTGGCCCGTGAGCTAAGAATGGTTTTACACTTTCACCTGTTGGAAAAAATCAAAAGAAGAAAAATATCTCACGACGTGTGAAAGTTGGATGAAATTTAAATTTCAGTGTTCACAAAATTTTATTTGAAAATAGTCACACTACGTATTGCTTGTGGCTGCTTTCCAAGCTGCCCCAGGAGTGCTGACTCCTTTTTAACGGAGACTGGCCAACAAAACTTAAAATATTTGCCATTTGGAGGGGCCTGGGGTTGAGTCCGCCTGGGGCCCCCTGCTGGGGAGGGAGTCTGCTTCTCCCTCTGCCTCTCCCCTCACTCTTGTCTCCCCCACCCCCAACTAACTAAATAAATCTTTAAAAAAATATTTGCCGGGCGCCTGGGTGGCACAGTTGGTTAAGCGACTGCCTCCGGCTCAGGTCATGATCCTGGAGTCCCGGGATCGAGTCCCACATCGGGCTCCCTGCTCAGCGGGGAGTCTGCTTCTCCCTCTGACCCTCTTCCCTCTCATGCTCTCTCTCTCTCATTCTCTCTCTCTCAAATAAATAAATAAAATCTTAAAAAAAAAAAGATACACTTAAAATATTTGCCACTGGATCTTTACAGAAAAAGTTTGCCAACCCTTAATCTACATGGTTGCCTTGTATGCATCTTTACGACCTGTGGGGCTTGACAAATGTTTAACAACTGCTTCTCTGGGGGAGACTGTGTGTGTCAGTGCGTGTGTATGTATATGTATTTATATGTGTGCTTGTGTGGTATAGTTTATTGTAAATAACATTTTCCTATCACTTTCTTAAAGCTAGAACATAATAAAACGATGAAATGAACGCTGGTTTGTAGTGCTGATTTTCTTGGTGTAAATTCTTCAACCATGGCTAATTTCAGTCTACTAATGTGAACTTCACTAACTGCAGAGCCAGGAAGAGATGCTCAGAACACACTATTTGTTCTTAGAGCTTTCTTTTTTTCTGTGTGGTCCCCAAATCAACATCAGCACCACCTGGAAGGTTTTTAGAAATACAGAATCCCAGGTCCTAAACCAGACCTTAATCAGAATCCACATTTTAACAAGATACCCTGGGGCTTCCTATGCATGTCAGACCTTGAGAAGCACTGTTCAGAAACTTTCATTTATTTTGGGGGCGTGAGAAATGGTTAATACTACTAAGAATTACACTAACTTTAATCAAGATGTCTTGATTCTCCTGCCCTAGATTTTGCCACCAAAATATAAACACAGGCCACAGACCTTGAATTAGAAATTCTCTAGGAATAGCTAGACTACCAATGCTAGAAAGGATGATGGTGGTCATTGAGTCCATCTGGTTCGCCAGCAGTGTGTAGGCTTAGGTTTTCTCATTTCTAGTTTGTTGGTTTCATTATATTTCATTTTATGTGTATTTTCTCTTGGGTAGGTCTTCTTGGCTTTTGCCATGTGTTTAAACTCTATGACCCTTAATGAACTTAATACTTTTCTTTACAGGCCTTTTTATTGGTTTACATTTACATTAAATAGAGTATATCACTATCCAAATACCACTAAGCCATGAGTGGGAGATAATTGTAAAAATAAACATGAAAACAAAACAAGGTTTTTTAAATTCTGGGTTGATACTGTTGTCTGCCAAGGTGCTAAGCCCAAGCCTGCTTTTTCTTTGATGTAAAGAGAGATTTGCACAGTATTAGAGGATTAGTAAAGGCATATGATCACTCAGTGGAAACTCTCCTTGACAGGATGAGAAGTACTGAGAGAGAACTGAAAACGGGTTAGCTGTAAATCATATGATTCGGTGTCATCTGATGCGATGTCTGCCATGTCTCCGAAAGTCATTTCATAGACCACTTTCATCCCACACTTGGGGCAACTCCCAGCAACATGTCATCACTTGCTAAATATAATCCAGTTGTGGTTTTTCAAGGGACATAGAGAGATGCTAAACCTATCAGCCTGACGAGCCAACTAAATTTCCACTGGTGTCACAGTTGTCTCCAAAGTGCCAGTGGCTGCCAACAATCGACCCTTAGGCTGGTTTTTGCTTTATTTGGTCTCCTCTAACGAATTAACTTAGTCAATATTTATTTATTTATTAAATCAATATTTGTTTATCACTTACTGGTGGTAGTTGGAAATTAAGGTCCCAAATTCTTTGACCCTGTTTCCATCAAAAAAGGTGAGGTCCCTGTTCCTTTCCCTTGCATGGAGGTGGACTCGTTAGTGGTGGATGAATAGAGTACAGTGAAAATGACACTAACCTATGAGGCTAGGTAAGAACAGAGAGGATGCAACTTTCATCTGCTTTGCTGAAACAGCAAACCTGAAAACTTTCAGTCTTCATATAAATAGTCCCATTTGCCCTGAGGCCGCCATGCTCTGAGGAAGCCAAAGATACACAAACCACAAAACCCTGAGAGAACTGCCCAGCTAGCCCTTCCTGTTCCTCACACACAGAAACCATGAGAGAGAAATTAAATGATGGTTGTTATTACAAGCCCTTAAGTCTAGGAGACAGGTGTTACACAGCAATATATATCCATGGCACTACTGTGCATGAGGCACTGTTCTGCATGTTGGGGCCCAGGCTGAACAAGACAGACCCTGGCTTCATGGACCTTTGACTCTGCCTTCATGGAGTTTTGCATTCTTTTGTAAGGAGATTACAGTAGACAGGCAAACAAAGTAATATGAGATAGTGACTAGTGCTACAAAGAAAATAAAACAGCATATTGTGACAGTGATAGAAAAGGGATATTGGGGTACATGGGTGCCTCAGTCGGTTAAGTGTCCTACCCTTGATCTCAGCTCAGGTCTTGGTCTCAGGACGTGAGTTCAAACGTGGTCCACACTGGGTGAGGAGCCTACTTAGAAAAAAAGAAAGGGAGGAAAGAAAGCAAAAGGGAATACTTCAGATTGGCTGGTCAGGGAAGTCCCCTCTGAGGAGGTGACACTTAGTAGAAGATCTGCAAGTGCAAAGGTCCTGAGGCAGGAACCAGCTTGGTAAGCTGGAGGAGCCGTGAGGAGTTCAGTGTGGCCAGGGCAGAGTGAGGAGATGAGGTCAGGGAAGGGGCATGCAGGACCTCGTAAGCCACAGCAATGGTTTGGAGTTTTTCCTAATACAAAGGTTGGGAGTGGGAAATGGAAGGATCCAGATGATTTACCCTAAACTGCTGATCGACTGGCTTCTCAGCTGCCTGCTTCCTCCTTGGATCACCATGAGATGAGTTTGAGGACTGCCTGAGCCCTGGCTGTGCTCTGAGAACTGTGAACTTCCCTTCACAGCCATGTTCTTAATGGCTTCTGTAGTTGGTCTCCAGTAAAAAGGGCCTTCACAGCTGCAAAAACGTTCTCATCTTCCCATCATGGGCAGGTATTTGCTCTGTGCCCAGCCCCATGCTGAGATTGAGGTCCCAGAGATTCATTAGCTACACAGTTCCCCACCCTCAAGGAGCTCAGAGTCAGGTGAGGGCAAGGAGAGTCATCCTGGGTTGCCTCCTCCACTGAGCACCCTTCCCTGTCATCCCCCAGTCCACAGGTAGAGTTCATGACAGCAGGATGTCCGATGTGGCCGATGCTAATGCTGATGGGGGGGGGGGGGCTCTGACCCAAGCTGGGTGCATCAGCTTCCCTCACTTCCATATTCTGCAGCAGCTAAATATAGTATGGAATTGGGAGGAAATACTCTATGTTACTTGTAATTTTTACAAATTTAACTTTTCAATTTAAAATACAGCTTTAAATGAGGGCACCTGGGTGGCTCAGATAGTTAAGCGTCTGCCTTCGGCTCAGGTCATGATCCCAGAGTCC